TCTAGACTGGTATGCAATCCTCTCCTGGTGCTGCTCCTTTTACATCTTCTAAAGCACTTCAACGTCCATAGCTCCCCTTCTATTGCTTTGGGCTTAAGAAGAGTCCTCTATCCCAAAACCACTGATACCGCTGCTCATTTTCCAAAATCCAGCAATGAATCAAGAGGCTGTTCCTTCCTGCAGTTGGCATTTCCCTAGACTAACCAAGTTCTGTTTTGCTTAGTATCCATCATGCTTAGACTATCCTAGAATTGAAGGGCTGGGAAGAACCCAATTTCACCCATGCAAAAGTTATGTTGCTAAGGGAGTGGAGAGAAGAAGCAAAAATCAAGACCCGGATCTGAAGTAATATCCATCAGGAAGTCAATCATATTGCCATTTTCAAGATACCATCCATTACTTGAGTTTAGTTGGTCAGGACTTTGGATCAAGAAGAAGTTCTACACCATCCCAGTATCTGGTAACGGCATTCTCCAAATTTATACTTGATCTTTCTGGTCTTAACATCATCAAAGTACTTGTTCTTGCAATGTTATTCAAAGGCAGCAAATAGTAAAATGATGTATTTTTTCAAGAAATCTTTTGCCTTAGACATCACAGTGAATTCACCCTCAATTATCTCGATCTTCACATTACACACAAACAAGGCATTATAAATGATATAGATTGTGAGGCTGTAGAATATTATACAGTATTTTCTCCAATGCTGATTTCATGCAAATTACAATACGCAACATTCTTAAAGCATTTTATGTAAGTGTGTATGTGCTATACTTCTTACACATTTTGTTCCTCTGCACCTAGCTCCCTACATTAATATGGAAAACTGTGATACTTACACAAGCACTGTGTAAGCCGCTTTATCACAAGCCAATATCCACCATTAAAATCTAGTGTTGTTGCTTCACTTCCATATAACAAAATAGTGTTTTGTGGTGTGTTCCAGGGGCGGGTTTCAAAACCCATCGCTACTGGTTCGCTCGTCAGCGCATGTGCACTTGTGATGCTTCTGCGCATGTGATGTTTCTCCGCATCTGTGATGAGGAGCCTCCCGCCACTGCTACCGATTTGCCCAATCCGGGGCGAACCGGTAGCAACCCACCACTGGTGTGTTTAAAGTGTTTAAAGTATTTAAAGTAGGCACATAAAAATCAGCCTGGGATTTCAGGATAAATTCTTCTAACAGGCAAAAATGCACACAGCATTTCTAGTGCATGGCTTCTGGTTCATGGTTAACTGAATCATGGTTTAATTTAGACTTTTAATTCTGACTTTGCACCGAGCCATACTGGCCAGTTTCACTAAGATGCCGAAGCCACCAATCAGCCAAGCACATTTGATTTGACATGTTCTGCAAACCTAACCTAAAGATCTGGCTTGGATTCCTATCATTCTTCACTGTTTCTTGGCCTCAACAATTCTTTCTAAATAAAAAAAGCCCTTGCTGCCAACCCAATCACTGCCTTTGCTTTCCTATTGCAAAAAAACTCAACCCAACCATGAAAATGCTGAAACTTTCTGCTAATGCTGCAATAATATTAAACAAATAAAGCATCCAAACTATATCATTTTGATGCTTTCAGGTCAGAAAGAGCTTGTCCCTCATAACCTTTGGTTATTTAAATAGACTATTTCTTTCACGAGGAGAACAGATTTGTAGTTCAGGATATAAACCTGGCATAGTAACTCTAGTCACTGGGATTTTACCTGATATCAGTATACTATAAGTGATCATTGGCACCAATGGCAGCTGTGCTTTGGTTTTAAAATTGGCATTCAACATATTCAGGAAAAAAACAGCTGATGGAAACTTAACTATGGGACTCGAAGGCATTGTCACCCAAAGCCATGGGAGGAATAGTAGGGCTGTCTTAAATAACTGACCATCCATCTTTGGATTTCAAGCCTCATTAGCCTCTTAAAGCATGATTAATGAGATTGTGGGAGATGTAGCTCAAAACTTTGGAAATATTTGCTTCAACAGCAGTAAATCAACCAGATGACTGAAGGGATAGCTCAGCATTGACAAGGCAACTTGCTGAAGGGCTCAGTGCATATTTTAGCCTAAGAAAAATGTGTGATTGTGCTTTACTATACAAATCCACCTGCAATTTAAAACATAGTTTGATTCAGCACAATGTCCAAATCAAACTCAAATAGTTTTCTAAACTATTCAGGGCACCCAAGGTCCTAGAAATGTTGCTAACTATCCCACTGAACATTTTAAGTTTCATCTTAGGACTCACAACCAGTTTTGAAACTCAATGCATTGTAGCATGGGGGAAAATGCCATCTGTTCTTCTAATCCAAGCTTACTTTCCAAGGCAATGAAATTCAAACATGCCAATTTCTAATCCCTTCCTGCAATATTCTTTACATCTGGTAGTCATAATTTGCATACTAACAACCCAGACCTCATCTACCTTCTATCACAGATGTCTTGCTCATTACAGAGATATCTTCACATGACCCATTACAAAATTTATCACAAACTTCAGATAGCAGCAGACTAGGTAAGATTTTACTGTCTATTACAGGGTTGTTTTTCATATCAAGTTTACATATTTCAACTTACCTAGTTAGTTCCAAGAATGTAAAAACAATTACTTTCATTTAGACAGTACCTGTTTTCATTAAACTGATCAAAGTGTTTGACTACCAAAGATTGCTACAAAATATATTTAATAAAGGATTGGGATTAATGGAAAAATAAAAACCAAGCCAAATTACAATTCACATTTATTTACAGCAAGTGTTCAGGCTTATAAATATACTTAAATGGCATTTCAGTTAAAATGCTTTAAGATATCTACAGAAGCTAGGGTTGCCAGGTGTCTACTATTTGAGCGGACAGTCCACTTTTTTCACATTATGTTCACTATTTTTTTTCACAAAATAGTGGACATTTTTTTTATTCAAAAGCTTTATGATGAAATGGTACGTAAGTTTCCATGAAGTTTTGCGCCATGTTCCAACACGTTGGTTAAGTTTGTTTAAAGCAGTCGAAAGACTTCTTTTAAACTGGATACCTCTATTTCTCTTGGATTTGATGAGTGCCATAAGGTTATCTGGAACCTATTATGGATCAGGAAAATGAACTCGCAAAGGACGATGAACCAACAATTTCAGAATTATATTTATATTTCACGCACTTCTTCATGTCAATAATGCACGACACCCTACTGAAGCTGGAAAGCAAGAAAATTCTTGCATGTAATCTTCACATTATCATGTGTAAGATGCGTGATTCTTTGCAAAAAAAATACGATGAGCAGTTTTTTGGAATGAAAGTTTTATTTGCCTTACGTAAAAAACATTTGCCTGAGAATGCCGTGCAAAAGTTCAAGAAAGAAGCCATCAACGTGTATCAAAGAGCCATTGCGTACCTAGAAAAGTGGTATAATTTCACCGATTCAGTATATGAGACACTAAGTTGTTTCAATCTAATTGATCGCAATAATCCTCCAACTTTAGAAGAAATGATGAACATCTGGTTATTATCACCATAGCGAGAAGAACTTCCACCCAACATTCTCTTCGATGAAATTTCTGCCTTAGAAGAAGTTTATGTTCATCTGCAGGGCGATTCATCCCTTGATAAGTGGACGTACTTTTTCAAGAAAGAGCCAGCTCCAAGTTTACTGAAACTGTTCCAGTATTGTGCATCAATTCCGGTATCAAATGCAAATGTTGAATGAATTTTCAGCGTCATGGGAAATTTGTGGACTGACGAACGTAACCGACTGCTTGTACCATCAGTTCGAAGTGAACTTTGTATATTTTTTAATATTTCTCAACGTTGTACTGAAATTAAAGAATTATTCCTTAAACACAAAGAATTAATCAAAGCTGTGCAGTCAAATAAAAAATACACATGACAGCAAAGTAAAATGTAATTTAATATTTTACATATTATTATATTTGATGTTTTGAATTTTAAGTAAAGTTTTGAAGTGATTATTTTAATATGTGTTAAAATGTTTGTAAGAAAAGATATAATTTAATTGTAATTTTTTTTTATTTTTTTACTACTTAAACCCCCCCCCCCCCCCCTCTGCTATTTTTTTTTTGTAGACCTCGCACCCCCCCAGAATACCTACTTTTAAAAGTTCACTAATATCATGGGCTATAGTGCAGATTTTTAATTTATATTGAGGTGAATGATGTTTTCCATTGATAAATCAGAATGCAAAACTGAAAGCATTTAAAACCTGAATGTCAGAGTTAATTAAAGTCATAAATCAGATAAAGGCCCATTATAAAAGGGATTTTTCTTTAGCCTGTTAGGTCTGATGCAAAATTCTTTCCACATTATCAAGCCTGTAAAACAGAGTCTTCAAACTTGGCAGCTTTAAAACTTGTGGACTTCAACTCCCAGAATTCTGGGAGTTGAAGTTCACTGGCTGGAGAATTCTGGGAGCTGAAATCCACAAATCTTAAAGCTGCCAAGTTTGAAGACCTCTGCTGTAAAAGAAGGTACTTCTGCACAGAACTCATGCTTATATCATTACCAATATTTGTACATAACATAATACAATTTGCTGATTATTGCAGAAGTATCTTCACATAGCCATTACAAAATCTCAAAGTTATTTCCTAGGGGTTTATAGAGATATAACAAACTTAGTCTGCATTATTTTGCAGCATGAACTTGCAGAGTCAGAAAAAAATCGTTATTGCTTTAAAATGAAATTTACATCTGGTAGTCATAATAGTCTCAACCAGCTTCAATCACTAAAAGTAAATATAAAAATTAAGCAATTGAGAAATTAGTAATAGTAAGACCCTCTGCCTAAACACTAGTTTAAAAACTAGTGTTTTAAGACAAACAAAAACTATTGTGACATGACATGGTATTTACTCCTTTTGTTAATTTAGAGAATGTGCTTTTTGTCAAACACCCAAAACACCTACAATTCATGGATAATTTTTCTACTTTGAAAACAAGAAAACCTTTTAATTTCTCTTGCAGATCAGAAAAAGCAAAGAAAAACAAACACTTTAGAATTATCTGCTTTTACACTTCATACTTTATTTTTCAACTAATTGGCAATTCACAATAAGGAAAAATACCAAACTACAAGGTTTATTACATCACAATTAGTTTTAACGACATGTACAAGTTTTCGCTATCATATTCCGATATTCTTGGTATACAATTGATCTATCAGCCTCCACCTTCAAAACACTCAAAGGACTGTAGTCAGCTGGAATGCAGGAAAGTTCAGGGACAGAAGAATCCAGTTTTTCCCGCATTATGTTCTGTATCACCGCATGGATTGGAGAGCCATAGCGGTGACCAACAACTCTTGGACAGTCACCTTTGCAATAGTGAGGATTGTATCTATGTGGTGCAATTATCCATTTGTCCCAGTTCAGTTGACTGAATTCCAACCAAAAGCTGTGAAGCTCACATTCATTTTGAGGAAAGGAGAACTGTTTGTAATACTGACTTATGTTAAATATTGGAACTGGAGTGTTTTTCATTTTCCTATCTTCTTCTCTTCGGTGACGAGGTGCTCTTCCCTGTTTAAGGCCTTTCCTGGCCTCTTCACTGGGAATTGTGAAAGGATGCTTTTTGAGAGTAGATAATGTAAAGTTCTTTCTGACTTGGAGAAAATTCCATCTGTGATAAGTGTGCTCACTAGTGTCAATAGTATAGAGGAGAAGAAAAAGGGATCTTTGTGCCATATTGAAGAAACCATATTCAGAGTTGGGAGAATGTTCATTTTTCAAGCAGGTGACATTCACAGCCATATGGATGTTTCTTTTCTTGGTGACTATCCAAGGGTGAAGAATAGCAGTCACATCAATCTCAATCCATTTGCGTCTACGTTCCAAATCCAGAATGAATACCATTGCATGTGGAACATTGATGCACACTTGACTGGAGGCATCACTTTCTTGAATAGTCATGTTGCAAACACAGGTAAGATTTGAAGCTGTAGAAACAGACTCATCCAATGAGAAGAGTACGGCTGACTTCAGTAAGTGCTCTGAGGCAGTAACACAATCCAAGTTGAAAAACAGGTCTGTTGAATGAAGATCTCCTGCAAAGAGATTGAAGAAAAAAAAATGCTTAAACAAAGTAGTCCTGCCCTCCCAGGTTGCTTCTCTTAATCACTGTATACTTTAGTATATTTGCAAATGAAAGCAATTGATCTAAGACTTTCTGATTAGGCATAGCTTTTTTCTGAGCAAATGTCAAAGAAGGCAGTTATTTTAGGGTGGCAGCCATTTTGAATATCCAGTTTTTTTTAAAAAAAAGCCTAGTATAAGTAAGTTTATAAAGTATAAAGCTTTGGAGAAACAACATGGCCACCACTATCGACATTTGACAAAAAAAAAAGGTAATTTTCCAACTACAGCAAAATATATATTTTACACTATTAAAAGAGACCCCAAAGATGTATCCCATTCCATTGTATATGGAAGAACAAGCAAGACCACCCATATTTTGACAAGGGGCAAAAAATTAATTAACCCCAAAAAAGTTTTCACATACCATTAGTAGTCGGATGCTTGCATTCAGCATGTGGTGTAAGAAGGCGGACAGTGTTGTAGAGATGGCTTTTGTTGGGCTTAAGAACACCTTCCTTGGTAGCAAACATTTTATACAAATGCTTCATATAACGTAAGGCTCTAGAATCTGGGGGTGGTCTTGAGACATCAGTTTCCAAGCCCTGGGGATAATGACCAGACAGCAGCTTGAAAAGAGGAGCATGTGGGCCTTGGCCATTTTCTTTTGGAAGAACCAATGATGGAGATCTCTTGGAGGCCTGCATCTCTGTGATGCAGTAATGTAATGGCTGAGAAGTCCCTTCATTTCTCAAACTAGGGGCACATAGGACCCCAGGAAAGAAGAACCTGTCCAAACAGAAACAAAGAAATAAACACCCTAAAAACTTCATGATTAGGATTAGTTGGGCAAAGTAGCTATCTCTCCCATAACAGACAAAGCCCTCAAAAAAAAAAAAAAAGAGGCAGCTCCTTCTAGCCTCTTAAATAAAGTTACACTAATTAGACACCAAGGAAAGACACATCTGATGGTGCCATCCTATTTACTTCAGACTCCTCCCTTTGCAGGTGAATTAAGTAACGTTTTCACCTGCAGTTTAGTAACATTAAAATCAGATTAGCTAAAATAATTTGGAACATGTGGTGAAAAAGTGTGCTATAACTCTATAACACTTTCCAGAAAGTAAGCCTGTACTTTAAAATAGGGTTTCCTTGGGGAAAGAGATTTAAGTTTGTGCTCAAGATTAGTTAAACCTGATTCTAAAACTACAGCTGTGCTTAACTTTAATGCCAATAGTAGAAACATTTAATTTGATAATCCTGTTCATGTTAAAGACACATTCACAGAGTAGTGCTTGTTTGGGATGTGTTTTTCACTGCATTGGCCTTTCAAGTGAAGACAAGCATGCCATATAGAGAATAATGAACTCCTGGAGGGAGGGAGGGAGGGAGAAAGGGTCAATATTACTATATAACTTGTTTATTTTCTGTTAAGGTGAATAAAATGAACAGGCTATTTTGTTTTTAAAAAAAATCTCTACAGTTTTAAGAATGATAATAATGATCCAGTATAAAACAACTTTTCCTGCTTAAGACACAATGAATGCCAAGACAATTTCATTAGAGTTTTCCATAAATGGAATGAAAGAGAAAAATGAATTGCAGATGTTGCTGCTTGTTATTTAGTAAAAGAATTTATGGTGATTGGAAAAAGGAGGCAAAGAAATAGAATAAACAGCTTTCCAATCAGTTCCTCCAGCTGAATATTTTTAACTATTACTGAAGAGTTCTAATTAAAGTCCTTGGTAAATCTAGCAAGCAAGTCTAACTCCTGAGTAACAGTTTCTACCAAGCTCCAGTCTCTAGTTAATGTAGAAGAGAAATCCAAAGATCTTCATAATGTTTCATTATGCAGCTTCATAATACAGTGACTGGATAGATAGATTGGCTAGTTAGCTAGTGTGTTGTATACCAGTGTATGCCTTTTGTCTTCAAATTACATACTGTTTGGAAGAATTCTTCAAAGTTCCTTTGATGGAGAGGAGTTATCACAAAATGAAGAGCAAATAAGTATTCTGCAACCACCCAAAACAGCATATGCAGTGCTTTGGAACTCTAGAATGGATTTCAAATCACAGTAAAGCTAAACGTATTCCTTACTATGGCTGTTAGCTTCAAACGTATAGTTTTTTTTTTTTTTACAGATCTACAGTTTGATTTTCATACGTTGTAGTATTTTTCCATATTTATTTAGAAATACCTCACAAGAGCGTTCTGTTGTACTCATTCAGTAATGAACATTTATCATGCAATTTTGAGTTTTTTAAAGCTGTGTATTCTGCAGGTTTTTAAAAAGTTTTTAGTATTTCATTTACATAATGAAATACATTTGTATATTTGATTATTGTTTCTTTGGTATTTACACAAAAATGTACTGGTTAAAGGTTCTTTCATGTTGAGTTAAACTCCTTATGACTATTGATTTATTAAATACTTTTCTATCCTACTGCAATTAAAAAAAACTCTCTGTGCTATAGACAGGTGGTAGAGATATGTAGGTTTTTGGAAGTAAGTAATATAAAACTGGTTGCCATTGGTCACTTCCAGAATGTTTTTGTTTAAAATTCCAATCTAGTTTCCAGCTCTGAGTTTTCCTAGGGTCTAGGTGTGGGTGGATAAGTGGAATTCAGTTGTGGTTGGCAGAAATTCCTTAAATAATGTCATAGTTGTGTAATCTGAGTTTTTGTCTTTCTATGTAGAGGTAAGCCAGATTTTGCTTGAAGGGTTTGTTCAGAGAATAATAGTCAGAGAATTAATCACTAATACTTAAAAATGTTCTTTTGTGATATGGGGCTATTCAGAATAGGGGCTCTTCTCCTGAAGAAATGAGCTGCCTCTGTAGGTTATATTGTATTGTAGAGTCTGTCGGCTTTAAGTATTCTTTATTTCTAAAATTCTCAGGATTGCCAGATAACTTAATTCCAGGCATTGTCCATGGCAGAGGTCTAGAGAGGGCTTAGTTAATGTTAGAGAGAGAGGGCTTAGTTAATGTTGAGTCCATTTGCTTGCAGTGGAGAAGGGAAGCAAAGCTAATTGTGGGTGATGACACCACCAAAGTAAGTGCAATAACCACCGTTTTTTCTTCCCTTTTCATCTTCATGTAGGCAGACAGGAGAACAACAGATTGCTTTGTCAAAATCCTAAACTGGCAATTACAAAGACTTTGAAACTTAAGAACTGCACATCACTTTAGCCTCAAGAAAGCAGTGGGACTAGAAAAGTTTGTAATCTATTATAATAGATTCAGAAGACTTTACCATTCCTTTCATCTCCCTTTCATTTTTAAGAGGCGTACATGATCAGAGAAGCTTAGCCTCCAAACAGATTTTATTTAAAGAATATTTTACAGATACTTCTGTTGAGATCTCTATTAAATCAAAGGAAGGAAGTTTGTTCTGAACTAGCTCCTGAGTCTTCTAAGGAGATTAAATTATTCTCAGGCTCTGTTTAAAAAAGCTGGACTAGAACATAGCCTTTCTGATCTGCAGATATTTCAATAGTTCATCTACTTCTAATGGGTCTAGATTCAGTTATGAAAGTCTCTTCCATTTCTTATTTTGTTCCATTCTAGTTTTGGCAAATTTTCTTCTGCATTCTTTACTCTGGACTTCTGCTTGGTTTCTGCTGAAGTTCAGGCATGACAAGGACTTCTTGTTGGACTCTTATTTGAGCTCATAGCATTTTCCGATGAATGCAGTTTTGTTACCAGTTCATTTTTCCTCATATGACTCTTGTCAGTCAATATTGATGCTATTTTGTGTGGACTCTGCTCAATGATGGGATTCAAATAATTTAACAACTGGTTCTCTGCCCTAATGACCAGCTGGGTAGGCATGGCTGGGTGGTCATGTGACTGGGTGGGCGTGGCCAGCTTGATGTCATTCACATCAAGGGATGCTTCTCCTCGCCTGGCCTCTCGTGACATGGGGATGCTGCAATGGTTGTAAGTGTGAAAAATGGTCATAAGTCACTTTTTTCAGTGCCATTGTAACTTTAAATGGTCACTAAATGAACTGTTGTAAGTCAAGGATTACCGGTACAAAAATACAAAAAGCTTCTTTGCTTGCAAAAAGCTGCCCTAAATACTTAGATTAGAAATGCCTGCAACCCAGTTACAAATCAGGCAGGGTGCCAGAGCACCTTGAGGAATTAAATGCAAGGATAACTATCAGCAGCCAATTCTTGCTCATAAAGTGAAACCCTTTAGCAGAGAGGTCATTTAACCTCTCCAGAAAGTGCATGGGCATATTTGGGCTACAAAATGCCAAACTAAAGAGACAAGTTAACAAATTATATAGGGAACCCAGATTCAAGTCTCTGCCCTCCCAAGTTTGTCAAGCAAGGCTGGTCTCACTCACCTCATAAGATATCCTAAGGAAATCATCCACATTTAAGGAGAGATCGCATGCCCACCAGAAAGGCAGTAAAAAAAATCAGTGCCAAGCTTGCATCCTGCCTCTTGGAGGTACATCCCAAAAGGACAGTGCCAGGAACCACTAAAGCAGTGAAAGAAGACCCCTTCCCCAGATAGAAAAAGAAACCATGAGGCAGGAAAAAATTCAAACACAATACAAATAATTACAAATCACAACAGTTTAAATCCTTTTAAAACTAAAACATAAGCCTTGTCTGGCTCATTGCCAGAGTTTACACCCCAGGCAAACTCAAGTTAGGCTTGAGATAAGCCTAACTACAAAGAAAGCAATTAGTGCTAGAATGTAGCAAAAGAGCAAACACAGTAGCTGTTGCTTGTTAACCCAATTACCAGAACAAATAGACACAGGAACTAGCAAGATTTCTGAACCCTGCTTCTTTTCAGGAACAGAGATTAACCTTTTTCCTTCCAAACAAAGCTGAATAGGGAAAATTATCCCATCAATAAACACAGGATTAAACTTCACCAAGCACAGGATTAAACTTCACCAAAATCCAGTTTAAAACCCAGGGTATGTAAACTCCCGTTTGAATGTCAATCTTTCTAGCTTCAGCCTTGCTGAATGTCACTCGTCTTGGTTCCTTGTCATTAAAAGCTTCTTTCCGGCAGCTCTGCTTCGTTATTCAATTATTTCTTCAAAATGCTGATGGTTGCATCCTGGCTGAAAGAACTCCAACAGGGGAGTATTTCCTCCCAACAGCAGTGTAAAAAGCTTAAAACAACCCTTCCCCTTTAAGAAAGTCAAACCCCAGGAAAGTACCAGCAAAGAAAAAAAAAAAAACCCTCCAGAGAAGCTCAGGCTACAGTAAGTCTGGGCGTAAGAACCTTTAGTTGTTACAATGTAATGAGGGTTAACTGAGAGGCAGTTTCTGTAAGCAGGGCAATAAAGATTAGGCTAAAAACACCACCAGAATGTTTCCTTCCTGCCTTCCTTACAGGAAGTGGAAAAAAGCAAAAGATTTCTTCCAACAACCAGTTCTCCCAACTGCTTAGAAAGTTAACAACTGATTCTAGTGAATAGGTGCGAACTAGTTGAATTCCATCACTGACTCTGCTCTATTTTGAAGGGGGCACTAATTCCCTGTTTGTGCCCTGTTTGTAAGATTGGAAGAGCTCCATTTATTTCTTGTTTCCTAAATTCATTAAGAGATACCCAGTGATTCAAACAAAACTTCTCTATTCTTAGTCTTAGTAAACAAACCATGGTTCTTTGTCTTGTGCTAGACTTAGGTTTGTGGCTGGTGTCTTTTGATGAACAAACAGCACTAGATACGGATTTGGCCTTGTAGCATTTGCTTTATGTAGCAATAATTTTAATGGATGGTTCTACTTTGTATTATACATTGTATTTGGATCAAAGTCCCATCCTACTTTGCTGTAAATATCTTTCAGTACTTTGAATGCACTTTGTGCTTGATTTCTGCCAATTGTGGAATCATTATTCCTTCTTCCTAGAAATGGATGCAGTTCTGCATAGATAGGTCATGTCATGCTGAAACAATTGCATAATTTTTTTCAGTTCATAGTCCTTTGTTTCTTGCCACCTTGTAATATAACAAATGTCAGATTCTAGGAAAAGTAATTTCTCTCTTATCAATGTAATTCTAGCAGATTTCCATGGATTGGATCATTATGATACCATATCAATGGATTCTATTTCAACTTCTACTGATCCCTCTAGTGAAAATTCTGGTAAAGTTCATCCTCCTATGATTTCCTGTCACCTGTTGATCCCTCATTCTATCCCCATTTAATGTGATTTTTTTTTTGGTACCTTGTTACTCATGAGCTTGTGATATGCAATTGTTTGCTTTAACTGTGACCAGATTCTTGTCAAGTACTATAATCTAAACCAATGCTTGTTAATTTTTTGTCCCTTGGGATTTTTTCCCACTTCTAAAAAAATATTGAGAACCACAAAAGATGTATGGGTTTGCATGGATTATGTTTATTAATATTTACCATTTTAAAAATTAAAATTAATGCATTTGATGCCACTACTGCTTCTCTTGTTTATGTTTCAACATAGGCTGGCAAATAAATGTGATTTTTGTGGACCTATTAGAGAGTCTGGAGGGATGCCCAGTGGTCCTAGCATCACTTGGAGGAGATATGTCTTGGAGGAAGTATGCTTATTGGCACTATTAGGCAAATGATTGGGTTGCTGGATAGGCATGGCTTTATTAATTTAATTAATTGATTGATTAATTTACCAGGCTGTCCTTTCCAAGTACATGACTCTGGACAGCCAACAATAAAAAAAAAAAAGAATGACCTTTGCGGGAAGATCATGTTTATTTGTGGATTCATCTATGTTGGCATTTTGTTCAATCCCTGCGACATCTGCCCCAGTTATAAAGTACAAACTGCATGCTCCGAATTGTTCTCTTGACCTAATGTAGGTATTACCTGAACTGAAAGCTGCTCACTTATTTAAAAAGCAGTAAATGTGCACATCTAGAAAAATGTTTCAAGGTACACGCAACCATAAGTGATACCCGAGTGTATTAAAATAACAGTAAAAAAGAAAAGAACAATAGAACAATTAAAAGGACAGTGAGAAGCATTGTGGGAGGCAAAGCCTCCAATATGGTTAGAACTTCAATTTTTAAGGTAGGAAAGAAGCTAGGTGGGTTTAGATCAGTGGTGGGTTGTCCCTGGTTCGAACCGGTAGTAAAACCAGAGGGAGGCTCCGCCCACCAACCCGCCGTCATCAGAACGCTTCTGCGCATGCACAGAAAAGCGCATGTGTGCGCGAGTGAAGCAAGCATGCAGGCGCAGCCCTGTTGCGAACTGGTAGTAAAGGTAAGTAGAACCCACCCCTGGTTTAGATGGAACTCAGTCACCACATGGTGAGAGGAACTTGAATTGCTCTCTCCTATTGCCCTCTCATCTGATCCTGGAAGAAAAAAAGCATAGAAAAGAAGATCCAGCACAAAAAATAGACATGAATTAAGGAAAAGAGAGTAATGATTTACTATAGAACAGCCTGCCAAAGCAAAATTAGGTTCCAAAACTGATCCTGGCTGGTTTGATTGTTCGCTGATCTAAACATTGTCTTCCCTCCTTTATACCTTTTCCAACATACGGGGGAGCACAGGCAGCAGAAGTGAAACTGATCAAGGGCCAAATTCCTAGTCAGACATGGAAACTTACTGGTGTCTTTAGTCCAATTATTATTTCTCAGGCCAGACTTCTTCCTTTGCTGAGGTAAAGTAGAAGGGGTAAGGGGGCATAAAAGATACCATGATACCTGAGCAGTGGTGGGTTGCCCCTGGTTCGGACTGGTTCGAATGAACCGGTAGTAAAACCGGTGGGATGCCCCACCCACTGCCCCGGAGGTCGTCATCAGCGATCTGCGCATGCGATCCAGTTGCGAACCGGTGGTAAAGATAAGTAGAACCCACCCCTGTACCTGAGCGTAAACAACATTTGAAAAATCATTCCAGAATATCTGGAGAAAGGAAAAAAATGTGTTTCTGTGAAGTGTCACAGGGGGGCAGAAGTGCTATATACAGTAGTGATGATAAACCCCAACATGATATTCATTCAGTTTCTGATCAAGTCAAAGAATGATTTGATTTGAAACCTAGTCTTGAAAGGAGTAATCTTTCAAGAAGCAGCCAGCATGAATGGTCACTATCCACAATCTTTAATTATATTAGCCTTATCTTAATTTTAGTGTAACGTTGGCTATTTTCCTCAAAGGGTGGTATATTGGAAATAGAAATTATTTTTCTTACATGCAGGTAATATACGAATCGAATCTCCAAATAAAACTAAACAACAAAAGGCAGATTTTTTTCAGGGATACCTGAAAATAGCCACCTGATTATTTATATGGTTATGTCAAATTATATTTATTTTTTGGCAAAACATTTTTGTTAGAGATGGATGGATGGGAAGATAGCAAGTCATCTAGGTTCAGCAAACATAGGACAAATAACAATATAGCTTATAATGACCTTTTCTTTTCTATTTAAAGAAATTGCTAGAAGTATAAAAATATATTTATTTTCATAAATGGCAGATTATGGCAATTAAATCATTTCATCTGCCTGCCAAGCACATATTTCTCTCCAATCTGAAACTTTCAAAATGAAACATATTTTAAAAAATGATAAGAAGAGACTTGATATATTGTAACTGGAGCATGATCAGTTAGACAAAAAAGGTCATAAATGCAAAATATAATTTTAAAAAATCCTTAGCAGATCTACTAATGAAAATTTGTCTTTATGCTAATCCGTTTGAGTTGGCATTGTCCTCCCAGCTTTAATGAAGTGTAATTCAATGTATATTAAAAACTCATTCGTCTCTTTGAGGGAAATATGGCAGTTTATCAGGTTTCTTGATAACTGGTTCCACAGTCTAATTGGGATGATAACATTTTGTCTTCATTTGCATTAATGTAAACTATTAGTTTGTCCTATTGGGTTATTCATTACTTGACCTGCTACCAACAGAACATCTTTGCTTTCATTGACACTCTTTGTATTTACAGGTTGCAAGTCTTGTTTTGTTTTGATAGGCACCTAAATGCAAAATAATTGATCTCATTTGTATTCTTTCTTCTCATGAACTGCAGATGTTGACATATTTCTCTTCATATTGCTCACAGTTTACTGTATTGTTTAACTTCTATTTAATTTTGGTTCTATCTTTCCTTTATGAACTGTCTATATGGATAGTCCTTGACTTACAAACACAATTGAGCCCCAAAGTTATGTTGCTAAATGAGACAAGTGAGTTTTGCCCCATTTTAAGATCTTTCTTGCCACAGTTAAGGGAATCAGAGCCGTTGTTAAGTTAGTAACACAGTTGTTAAATGAAACTGGTTTCCTCATTGACTTTACTTGTCAGAAGGTCACAAAAGCTGACCACATAATGCCAGGACACTGCAACAGTCATAAATATGAGTCAATTACCAAGCATCTGGATTTTGATCATGTGACAATGGGGATGCTGCGATGGTCATAAGTGTGAAAAATGGTCATAGGTCAGTGCCATTGTAACTTTGAACAGTCACTAAATGAACTGTTGTAAGTCAAGGACTACCTGTATAGGGATTCTTGGCTCTTTT